ATTAAAACAGCAACTTTGCAGTGTTTTTTCGTATGTTTTTTATAGTTGTATTTGCGATTTCTTGGTCTCATTTGATAGAATGGAAGACATATTACAGAAATAGAGATGATTTTGATTGGTTTTAGCATTGGAAATGGCTTGAAACTGAGCTCAAAGTAGCGGAAATGTTAAAATTTTGCCGATATTCAAGAGTAAACAAACGACCTCACACGTCTAATACACATCAGCTGGTGGGTCTAATATACATTCACAAATATGGTGATGATATTTATACAATTATTACAGTATTGCATAACAGTAAATCTTCTATTTTTTGGTGTGAATAAAAATTCATTATGTGAATAAAAAATAAAAATGGAATTTATTTGTAAAGCCTCAAAACATAACTAATGAACAGAGGAAATGTTAGTTTAGTGCCAGGAATGCCTACATTGTTCATTCTGGACCCTATTTTGAAATTGGAATATTTTGAACTTTGTGTTAAATTGACCAAATTAACAATTTCCGATCACTTTATTTTGTAGTTGAAACAGTTGACTTGGCGATTTCTTGTGCTCAATCGATAGAATAGAAGTAATACTAGTGAAATAGCTAAGAATTTGGTTTATTGGAATAATGTAATTGGCCTAAAATGGGAGTCAAAGTCGGCAAAATCGCCGATTCGTAAATATCGCTGACACATCAAAATTCGTGAGAGCATAATTTCGTCAATTTTCCACCAAATTTCGTACTTTTTGTTTTATTACCTTCACAAAAAGATTCTCTACGATTTCATAAGAAAAAATAACAAATTTTTTTTTGGAAAATTCTTGGACACTGGTGCGTGACTCCAGATTTGGGCCTTGGACCCTGAAAGGGTTAATAATTATGATTTTTTGGAATTGTTATGAAGATTGTGAAGAAGGGCCAATCTGTTACATGGACTCTTAGATAAAAGGGAGCCTTTAATTTTTTATTATCTAAATGAAAGAGGCAGAAATTGGAATGTCATTTTCTCCCCTAGATCTGGGTGGACGTGTTATATGGTCTCTCAGCTTGATGATGAGACATCTGGCATTATTATAATTTTGGGACGGGATAATTCATATCGACTGATCTGCACTAGACAAGTACATGTATATATAATTTACCTGAGTATATAGCCATCCATAACAGCAGACCTTCTCAAAAGATGAAATGTATTAATACAATAGGTTACAGAGATGAGTCTGTTGAGTACATAATTGCACAAGTTACAATAAAAAACTTAAAGACCTAAATCACATAAGCAGCAGCAGCAGCTTACCAATCATCTCATACCAATAAATTAATGTTTGGAGACAACCAAATTGCAGCAATAACTCAACAAGCAACGTCTAATACATAACTGTATAATTCCTATGGGTTTAGTGCTCCCCCATGATAATAATAATAAAATACATATCTGCTTCAGCCTCAAGGCCCACAGCATGTACAATTGTTTATTAATACTGTTAATATACAAACTTACTAGAATTACTGAGACCACTACACATATGTGGGCCAATATACTGACTCCTCTCAAAAAAAAAAAAAATTATTACAGACAGAACAACAGATCATTATCACACCATCTCAAAATCACCACCAGATATAAACACCTCATTAAGCAATGATGAGGAATCAGTGAGCAACTTTATTGCACCACCTGGAAACCAACTCAGAGAGAATCTAATAACAACCATGACAAACTCGTGTCCGAATATATCTACAGAAACTACAAAACCACTATAACAAGCATCTCCCCATTAAAAAAAAAAAAAAAAAAGACTAAATAGCTCATGACAAACCAAAAGAATTCTCTGATTCACTAACAAAAAGCATAGTTGCAAAAAAATAAATTGGGCTTAATATCCAATGAAACAGCAAAAACAATACTCAACAAGAGCTAAAATTACGTACCAGGATTAGTCTGTCCGAAATGCCCATGCATGATAGTGGCTGGGTGACCCAAAAAGAAAGAAAAAACTTTCATCATTCAACACTTTCACCATCACTCACGCATAATCACCGTCTTAACAGAGGAGCTCAGATATGACAGTTTAGACATCCCTCCAAACTGCCAATATCCTAAACCCCTCCTTTAAAGTGCAGGCATTGAACTTCCCATTTCCAGGACTTGAGGCTGGCTAACCAGTTTCGCTGAATCCTTCACAAAATACTACCCTGCTCACACTCCAATAGCTTGTCAGGTCCCAAAAACCATTCGTCTCCATTCACTCCTAACACGCTCATCCATGCTTGCTGTTAATCCAAGCCCCTTGTCCACAAAACCTCCTTTAACCCCTCCCTCCAACCTTTTTGGGGATGACCCCTACCCTGCCTTCCTCACCCAATAGATTTATACACTCTCCAAGTCATTCTACTTTTGTTTCATTCTCTCTAAATTTCCAAACCACCTAAACAGCCCCTCCTCAGCCCTCTGACTAATACTTTTGGTAACTCCACACCTCCAACTAATTTCCACACTATGAATTTTCTGAATAATATTTACACCACATATTATCCTTAGACACGACATCTCCACTGCCTCCAGTCGCCTCCTTGCTGCAGCATTTACAACCCATGTTTCACACCCAGATAAGTGTGTTGGTACCTCTATACTTTCTTGTGGTTTTCTTTGTACTTAACAAATCAAAATTGTAATTACACATTGTAACCTTTGCAAAGAAATAAAATTTTTATTCTTTGTTCTTTTAAAGTAATACTGAAATACAAACAACTCAACTATGCTAATAGACAATGAAATAAAATTCAAATTCAAAGTTTATTCTCTCTAAAGATTACAATATTGAATTTACAGAATTTGGTTGTTGTGTGGTTTACATGTAGTTAAATAATGATTACAGAGTGTACCACTAGGATATAAAAAAACCTGGAAAGCTCTCTCCTGTATACTGGGCTCTAATTAAATTACTAAAACAGAAGAAATAACAGGAGGGGTCCCAATTATATGGCAGGTTAGGTTCCAGGCTACTGCCATAAAGCGAAAATTGCCGTACAGCAAATCACCCTTTTTTCACTTTTAAATGCATATAAATGCCTGATAACATGTTTACATTATATTAAGTTAGCAATAGAGCTAGGCATAAAAAAACAAAAAAGTAAAATGCACAAACTTATTACTTACTTTAAAATATTTCTAGTCTTTATGTAGGGTGAGAGGTGAGTAGTATTTATTGTAGGAAATCAGGTGTGGTAACCCACCCAGCTACCACACCTCACAATTATGTTTATTTGTTTTACTCTGATTGTATATATTTTCTTTATATATGTAGCTTATTTTTTATATAATTTTGAAAAAAAGTTTAAAGCTCTCCAGAGGAATTATTATTATGCTTATTGCCTTTGACATACCTTGTTCACTGAGTTTCAAGATGGATTAATGAAACTGGATATTGCAATTTACAACATTTAAAGGGCCCCAGAGCAGTTATTATTATTATTGTGCTATTGTCATCGACTTGCCCTATTTATTGAGTTTAATCATTTCTAATTTGATATTTAAAGTAAGAGGGTTATGACTCTTCTTTTTATCACAACTACCCTTAGATGCCATCGTAAATGAAAGAGAATGAGGGATGCAGAAAATATAAAGAAACTGAGAGTGAACGGGTGGGGGTGGTCAGATGAACGCAGTTCATACCTGTTCAGTTTGCATAATACATGCGTTTGTGAAGCTTTATCCTCACAATATAAACACCTCACAATGTGTACAAGTTGTCTTCATGTTGGTGCAGTAGAATAAATAATAGCAACACTCCCATTCTCATGCAGCACTCCATTTTTAGAGTGAACGATGCTATGAGTGAAGGCATATGAAAGGAATATTTTTCTACAGTTACTCACCCAGTAATACTATACTGTACACAGCTTCTCTGGTGTTGGACTAGAGAAAATGGAATTCTTGGTCACTACTACAAGCCGCCTAGCAACCACATCTCATATTTATGTCCATTTGTTCTACTATGGTTGTGTGTACATGTATTATGTTTATATATGAAGTGTATTTCTTACATAACTTTGAAAAAATATTATAGATGGATTATGAAAATGTCTATAATAATGTAATACATGACACAAAAGTGCCCCAGAGTGAATATTATTATTGTGTCTTCAACACTAATGAGACACTCTAGTGATTTAATGTGTATCTGCATGTCAGCACAGTGTGTAAGTTTATTTAGGTACAGGAACACATAAGTACAATTATCAGAGTATGGTGGTGAAAGTGTTGAATGATGATGAAAACTTTTTTCTTTCTTTTTGGCGAGATGGACACGAGGAACATCAAAGAGTGATCTGTGCCTTGTGTTATGGTCATGTGTTCTGTTGAGGTTGGCAAGGAGATGTTTGAGGGGAGGGTTAATATCAGAGTTAAGTGTTCTATGTATGTAGTAGGTGCAGTAATAAGTATGGATGTTTTGTATGGTGAGTAGGTTTAGTGTTTTGAATATTGGTGGAGTGTGCTGCCTGTAGTGGGAATTTGTTATCATTCTGACTGCAGCCTTTTGTTGGGTAATTAGTGGTCTGAGATGGTTAATTGTTGTTGAGTCCCATGCACAAATTCCATAGGTGAGATAGGGGTAAATGAGTGATATAGGGCCAGGAGGGCAGACCGTGGAACATAGTACCGTATCTTCGATAGTATGCCTACGGTCTTGGAAATTTTCTTAGAAATTTGTTGTATATGTGTATGAAATTTGAGTCTATTGTCAAGGTGGATTCCTAAGAATTTTCCCTCTGTTAGCTTTGTGATAGGTGATCCGTTTATCATTATGTTAAGAGGGACATCTGTAGCTCTGTTACCAAACTGAATGAAGAAAGTTTTGTCAATAGTATTTAGAGTAAGTTTGTTAGTCCTCATCCAGGTAGATATTTTTTGTAATTTGGTATTTACTGTATTGGCTAGCATGACTGGGCTCGGGTGAGAGAAGACGTATGTAGTGTCATCTGCAAATAGTGTGGGTTTGAGCAGTTACGATGCATTTGGTAGGTCATTTATGTATATGAGAAAGAGAAGAGGGCCAAGGACACTTCCCTGTGGGACACCAACTGTAATTGGCTGAGCGGAAGAGTTTGCCCCATTTGTGTACACATATTGGCTTCTGTTGCTGAGGAAGCATTACATCCAGTACCCATTGATTACCAACCACAAGCAACTTGCTGCCCAGTCCTACTGCTGGACCACTGACTACAGGCAACTTCTTGGCCAGTCCCACTCCTGGAATCACTGACCACAGGCAACTTCTTGGCCAGTCCCACTGCTAGACCACTGACCACAGGCAACATCTTGTCCAGTCCCACTGCTGGACCACTGACCACATCGCACTCAGTTCCACCGACAGCAAAGTTTCACTCACGGACCATTGAGGATGGATAACTACAATCCAGAGGAGTGTAAAGTGTGCTTTAACAATTATGATGAAGAACTACGACGACCACGCAATCTGCCGTGTGGTCACACATTCTGCTCACAGTGTATTGAAGATACAATACAGAATGCTCAGCTCATCTGCCCCAGCTGTCGTGCTAAGCACAGTGCCACAGATGCTACTCAGTTCCCGATCGTTTATGCTATTGAGGCTTTTATGAAGAAACTCAGAAGTATCCAGGTTACATCAGTGGAAACAGTGTCAACAAAATGTGGTCAAGATCGCACAAGAGGCATCAGCAAGAAGTTACGGTCTTTGGTACAGGAACACAAGAGAAGTATCAGTAACCTTATAAGTGAGTGTGAAGAAGCACTGTCCCAGCTGAGCAAGTACCAGGGGCAGGTGAGGGACTGGAAGACCCAGCATCACCAACTGCAGGACAGACTCCATGATCTGCTGGAGCAGAACAAGGCAGCAATAGAGCTCCTGGAGCAGGAGGATACCAGTGTGCTGACTATGACAACAGAAGGAGAGGCAGGAAAGAAGCAGCTGCAGACAATGCTGGAGAACCTCAACACAGTCAACACTGCAGAGGAGGTTGTCACAACCATTGATGAGGCTGATTACTACAATGTGGAGGTTGAAGATTGGATCCAGAAGTGCCAGGAACTCTTCCCAGGTGTCAACACTGTCTACACCTTAGTAAACGTACAGGAGACCATTAAGAAGACCCTGGACACCATCACCACAGAGACAGGTGCTACAGCTGCCTCCATTCTCCAGGGAGACTCAGTCACCGCCATCATGGAGAAAGTTAAGAAAATTATTGGTAAAATCCCTCCAGAACATTAACTGTTGATGATCTTCGTGGGATGAGTGAGAACGTCAAGAGGATGGTGGAGGCTGGCCTGGTGTTTGGTGTCAAGCAAGACCAAGATGACCTCTGCTACTCCAGAATAACTTTACAAGATGGTCAGCTGTATCTCCATGTTCTCCAGCACCAACCACCACCCACCCACGCCCGCACTATCCAGGACACACCGGGACAGCATCGTGGAGTTCGACCGCGAGGCAGCTGTCAGGTGTGCCACAGGCAGTGTGTACTCAGTTCCTCAAGCTTCAACATCCGTGCACACGAGGGCCTGGGATCTTCAATCAACTTGGCGTCCACCAGGACGCTGACATGTCCCTAGGGCAGCCCTCCATCGGGCTGCTAACGAAATCACTGGCTTCTTGGACCTCTTGGGGAGGGTCGATGGTGCTCGTGCAAGCAGCAGATCCCGGGGCAACTTGCTGCTATTTGCAATGGCTGTCTGCCGAGGAGAGACAGGCACCTAGCAACATCTGTTGTTGGGGCATTGGATGAATTCCCTACTATGTTTGTTAACTGCTCATTACTCTGTAATTTGTCTATGATTGTAATCATGTCATAACGTGTTTATCATTCATTAAATTTGAAACTTGTCATGATTGTGACCAGCTCTACCTGGAGCTCATTACCTTTGTAACTTGGTCATGATTATGACCAGATCTAGTTCATTACCTTTGTAACTTGCTCAGCTATCAAAACTTTGGAGTCCAGTCCCTGGACCAATTATGTACCTCTGTAATCTTTTGACTACCGCCCACAAGATGGGTATGGGGTGCATAATAAACATATTAAACTAACTTTCTTTTTGGGTCACCCTGCCTCGGTGGGAGATGGCCAACGTGTTAAAAAAAATACGCAATAACTCCTGGAAAGTTTCCAGTCATAATCGATAGATGTGGGGCTCACAGAGGATGTAAACAAACTAGAGTGGCGCATGGACACTGTAATAGCAAATTAGGGAGCCATATAAATTGAATTTTTGCTGTAATTTGAAATGTCCGTATGAGCGAATTGCTGTAAGGCGAAGCGCTGTAAAGCGGGTCCCTCCTGTATACTAAATGATGTAAATGTGATGAACCTCCCATCCCAATCACTGAATAAATAAACTAAATTTCTACTTGGCTATAAGATCAGACCTAGCCAATAGTACCACAAACTCCCAAGCCCAAGTTGAATATATTCTTACAGGTGATTAACCAAGCTGCTCATACTCTGCAACTACTCCCTTAGAGGTGATCTCAATAATAAACTGACTAAAAACAAATCAGGAAATAAAAACGATATACCTTCACTTCTATAAGAAAGCTCCGCATGTACTATAGCCAATTACTGAGGTGTTGTTTAATAAATCTAATGAAACAGGAGTTACACCTGTTTATAAAAGTGGAGACCTACCTGAAAAAATTACTACCTGGAGTGTTCCGAAGGTCAACGCCCTTGCGGCCAAGTCTCCACACCATGCCTCTGGGTGGATGGCCTGATCAACCTGGCTGTTGGTGCTATGCTGCATGAAGTCCAACACAGGCACTGCTGCCTAGCTGATCAGGGACTGATCTGAGAAATTTGTCCAGGTCTTTCTTGAGGATAGCCAGAGATCTGTTAGTAATCCCCCTCATCTTTGAAGGGAGGATGTTGAAAAGTCTTAGTCCTTTCACACTTACCAAATTTTCCCTTGGTGTACTCACTACACCCTTGTTTTTAATTTGGGCACCTTGTGCACCATCTGCCAAGCCTCTTACTTTCATAGGAAATGATTTGTGTGTAGATTTGGGACCAATCCTTCTAGAATTTTCCACATGCAGATTATGATGCATCTCTCATGAGAGTTGCAACAGAACACAGACTAACCATTAGAAATAAGTGCCACTTTGATATTCCCTATGTAAAATTTGACATAGATAAGACACTCTGTGCAAATCAAAATTCGGAACAACCTCCTTGAGCTTCAAAAACAATATCATCTCTTGAATTTGATATATTTATTCCTGTGATGATCAATGACTAAACAGTAATTATCATGACAATTATATCTTAACTGCTAACTCATTCATTTTCTACACCCATTGTAATTTATACCACCCACTAAAATCTAAACCACTAAGTAATATACAGAAAATTTACATGTTGCACGTTACTACTAGTATTAAGTAGTTTACAATAACTTTAATTTACCCAAAATGTGTTGCAAACCAATGAACTTTTAGAATATGATGTACTAAAATTGAATTTTCAGAACTATCAAGTCTATACACAAGCAAACTGTTATCCTTTCCATGCATGGTTTAAAGAAATAAAGCTTGATTTATCTGACAAAGGATTTCAGTGATTAACCTCCAATCCAGGGCCCTACAGATTGATTGTAGGAGAAGAAACTAATTATGTCTATCCCCTCAAGGAACTAGACCTAAGGAATTGACCCAAGGAATTGAATCTATTCTTCTTTTCTTTGGATAAAATCTGATTATCTCCCATTTCCCCAAGTGCTGTATGACTCCATATATCATGTGATGCACAGCCCATAAAGGTTGTACAGCACCTTATAAATATGAGGCAAGCAAGGTTATTCCAAGGAAGGGGAGAGTAGTTCCTATTTCTTGGAACAAAAGGTTTTCCTCAGCATTTAAGGCATTTTACTTGAAGAGTTCTCGCCTAATGAGTGTTGAATAAGACCAATTCATTGCTTTTGCTACCAAAGAATAGAATTGGAGACCTGTATTTAAATACTTAGACTAATTTCTCTGTTTAGTCAAACATCAAAGGCCAACAAGATCTAGCTATCCTCCTAACCAAATAAATACCTTGGCTGGGCTGAACCATAAACTATAAGGAAACCTGATGTATGAGTAACCCTGACAACTGTTCCAACATCCGTAATTTTTTTTTTTTTCAACAAGTCGGCCGTCTCCCACCGAGGCAGGGTGACCCAAAGAGAAAGAAAATACTTTCATCATCATTCAACACTTTCACCTCACTCACACATAATCACTGTTTTTGCAGAGGTGCCCAGAATACAACAGTTTAGAAGTATATACGTATAAAAATACACAATACAGGTACCATCCGACTTACGACCGAGTTCGGTTCCGACAAACCGGTCCTAAGTCGAAATGGATGTAAGTCGAACCTTACTACTGAATATCGACATAACATTTTTGTAATGACTATTTTATTGTTTTATTTTGGTATTTCATGTTTTACTTTACTTTTTATGCTGTTAGTACATGTACTGTATTTTATACTGTAAGGTTTAGGATAAACACTGTGTACAACACAAACAGTTATTTCCCAGAAATTTGGCATAGAAAACACGGTCGTAAGTCGAATGGTCGTATGTCGAGCAGGTCGTAAGTCGGATGGTAGGTGTATATCTCTCCAATCTGCCAATATCCATAAATGTAAATAAAAATTCAAACTCAAACTTATATTGACATTCAATACCAAGATGTCATCTATATAAATGAATCTTAATAAATCCCGAGTCTGCATATAATAAGACAGCAGAACTTGATGCAACTTAATGGTTAGTTTTTTGAGACCACAGTGCATTGTTATACCTGTTAACTCTATCTGAGGAATGTGAAGCCTCTGCAGAACATGTTGCGGATGGCTACTAATGGAATACTTTATGGAAATCTAGGAGAAGTCTTAGCTTAGCTGTAGGAAGGAAAAGTAAGCTGTAGGGATTATTTTGAATTTGAATTTTTTAGAGACTGCTGAATCTGGACAAAAGAGGTATAAAATAACATTTGTTTAGCACACACATTCTGTAAGCAATCTGGACACTTTATTTAGACAGCATTTTGCAGAAAGGCACAGGGAAAATAGAGGAACATGTGGATTAAACTATTCCAGTTCTGCCTCTGTCTCTCACTGCTATGGCCAGAGTGAAACAAAAGCAGAGGGAGGCAAACAAAAGTGGAAAAGTGCCTAGAGATATAAGCTCAGGCGAGTGTGTGTTGGTTGTGTTTCTAGTGTGTCATCTGAACTTCACTTAAGAAATAATTATACAGAAATAACTATATAATACACCTTCTAATTTCCAAGATATTATATATCTTGAAAATTATACATCTTGGAGATTAGAGAGGATAGAGCAAAATACGATGACTCGGACGGTATATAAATCTGGGGTAGGGGGCAGGGGAAAAAAGGTTCAGAGTGCTTAGGGTCATGGCCATGCAACAGGCTTGTGTGACAGCATTAGACAGGAGTGAAGGCAAGTGAATTTTATGATTTGATGTGCTGTGAGAAGGGTAACATTTATGAAGGGATTCATGGAAAAGTAGTTAGCTGGACTTAAAGTCTTGGAGGAAGGAAGCCTGCACTCTAGAGGAGGGGTGGGGATTTTGCAGTTTGGAGCGCTATCTGGGTTATGATGTCAGCATGCTTCAGGCAAGACAGCGACTGAATGAGTGACAGGTTAAAGTATTCCCCCCCCTTTTTTTTGTTGGGGGGGGGGTTATCACCCTACCTAAGTGAGATGGCTGGAGTGGTAAAAATAATACAGCCTCTCCTTAGTGACGTACTTGTTTACCGATGACTCGGACTTATTACGGGCTATCTGACCAGTATGCATACCTAAATAATGCATATTAGAGCTGATTTCCTTTATTCTGTTTAATACAATATACAGTACACTAGTGTATAAACATCCAAATATATGCCAGAAATGTTACAAAAGGTGCAAGGGTGACATTAAAACAAAATCAAAGATGGTTAACACAAACCCACTACCATTATAGTATGCTCCTCACTTAGTGACAAATTTGTTCACCGACGTGGTCTTAGGAATGGAACTCCATCGTTAAGTGTAGAGAGGCTGTATTAATATCACTATTGTAGGTATTCATTTGAAAGCAAGATTACAATATATCAGGTATTTACAAACTAAAATTGGGAAACATACAGGGCATATTCCCCAAACAACTGAATTCAAGTTGTAAGCTAACTATTATTTTAAACTAAATAAACTTCAAACTTTTTTTTTATATGTACTGAATAAACATCATTATTTTTGAGCTTCTATAAAAAAATATAGCATGTTTTAATCATAATACAAACAAAATTAGCATTCACCACAATGGCTTCTTTTTTATAATGCATAATATAATCATCATTGTAGAAACTACCAAAAAAGTAATCCAAACCTAACATACCAATGTGAAGGCGCCACTTTAAAATGTTATACAGTACTTTATGCCACTACAGGACGTCTCTGATTAAATTAATCCTCACCAGCAGGTATGGCATCTTCTAATCTCTTCACAAATTTGACTCTAATTTCTGTAACATTGTCACCCTTCAACTGATCTGCGATGAACCAAGCCATAACTTCCAACTGTACCTATTTAAAAGAAGTTGCATTCTATTATAATCTTTTAAACACTGGACTTAACATTGTATGCAGGCAGTGAAAAACCACCTAGGATATGACAGGTAAACAAAACTACAATACCCATGTTTAATTTTGAAGAAAATATAGAAGCTCTGTCAAAAGATAAAACACTCCACAGAGAAGTACAGTATTAAAGTGCCCATTACTGTTTACTAAGAAAAGCAAATCTAACACCACACTCAATCATACCTTTCATCATTTTATTACTGTATGTATTATTATTATTATTATTATTATTATTATTATTATTATTCATGTGTAGCCACAGAATAATACATACCATTTCACATGCTCCACGAATGACTCCAGCTAGGATGTTGGAGTAACGAAGACCAAGACAGTGATCAGGCAATTCAACAAACTCAGCCATTGGGTTGGTCTCAAGTACCACTGAAAATTCATCTCCACCAGGACTCCAGCTTCCTATGCTGGGTGACACTCCTAGATACAACTTGAAAGCTTGCTGAAACAAACAAATATCTTTCTAAACTCATAAATATCCCTTAATATACATATCTTGCTGAACATAATGTCAGACTGCTACATTTGCTGGGATAGTACCAAATTTTGCTGGAATCAATACAGGTAGAGATACTGTTTTTGGCTAATACTACTGAAAACATCAAAATCAGTTGATGCTAAGACCAATACATATCAAATTTAGCTGATACCCACCAGTACCAATACTCTGTCACAGTCCTTGTAAAAAGAATATTATTATTAATAATCCACGGGAAAGTAGAAAAGAATTCTTCCTCTGTAAGCTAAACCCACTACCATTATAGTATGCTCCTCACTTAGCAACGAATTCGTTTATTGATGTGGTATTATGAATGGAACTCCGTCATTAAGTGAGGAGAGGCTGTACTGTATTGCTAACCTTTAAATATTTTCATTCTTTTGGTTATGGTGACTGACAAATGAACATTTCAGTAGTAATTATAGAGTTTTTGAACTGAATTAAACTCAAGTTCTTGGAATGAGTGTAATCTAATGTACAAAATAGTACAGCTAGCCCTCCACTTTCATGAGCTCCACTTTTGCAAGATTTGAACATTCGCAAATGCCCAGCCACCCAATCATATTTACCAAACAAATGCGGGAAAAAAGTATGGGAAAACGCTTCCCGGTGCGTCCCTACTACTCTCCCTCTTACCCCCCTCAACCGGCAGCCTGCCAGTCCTCCGCCACTCACTCAGTCATTGTCCAGTTACTGTTCATGTCGGTCATGTCCAGTTACTGTTCTTGTTCTACCGTACACATGTGTTTGTTTGGTGGTGCAAGTATGGCCCCCAAGCGAGCAGCAACCGCTATTGATAAGCCAACCACTAAGCACTCAAGAAAGTGATGAATTTGGAGCAGGTGAAATTGCTAGACAAATGTAGGGCAGGTTATTTGAGCAATTCTGCCATTGGAAAAATTATTAATGTAAATGAAAGCACAGTGCACTCTATCAAGAAAAATGAGGCAAAGATGAGGGTGGCACTAGCATCTAGTGCTCCTCCCTCAGCCAAGCAAGTGTGACAATAAGAAACAGTGTGATGTCTAAGATGGAATCAGCATTATATGTGTGGATTTCAGACCAAAATAGAAAAGGAAATCCCAAAAACAGCAATGCGATTTGTATGATATGTTGGCTAGTGATGAGGCTAGCATCAGTGCAGAACCAGGATGTTCGACCATCACCCATCCTGACTTCCTAGCAAGTAAAGGATGGTTTGATAAATTTAAGAGACGGTTCTTCCTGCACAACATGAAGATAAGTGGACAATCAGGTTTGGCAGATCACGTTTCGGCAGCTGCATTCCCTGGCGCTTTGAAAAAATCATCAATGAGAAGGGATACAGGCCTGAGCAGGTGTGGAATATGGATGAAGATGCCTGCCAGGACCTTCATCGCCAAGGAGAGTGCACACCAGGGTTCAAGACTGCAAAAGACTGATGCTCATTAATCCTATGTGCTAACACTGCTGGGCACATGGTAAAGCCAGGCTTTATTTATAAAGCTGCCAACCCCAGAGCATTGAAGGGACACAACAAGAATCTACTTCCAGTATCCTGGACGCATAAGCTGAAAGCATGGACCACCATCATCTGTATGTACTTTTTTCACCGGTGCTTCCTGATGAAGGTACGGGCATACCTACAAGAGAAGGGCCTCCCAAACAAAATCCTCCTGCTTCTTGATAATGTTCTAGGTCACCCACCATCACTGGAGGGAATGTGTGATGATGGTGAGGCTGTGTTCATGCTGCCAAATGCAATCTCCCAGATACAACCTCTTGATCAGGGTGTGATAGCTACATTTAAAGCCTACTACACACAAAGGTCAATGCAAAGGTTCCATGATGTGTTGGATGCAGATCCAAATATAAGTGTCACTCAATACTGGAAGAAATTTATCATCACTGGCTGCCTCTCAATAGTGCATGAGTGTGTCAAGGATTTGCGCCCTCAGATAGTGAAGGGTTGTTGGAGGGCTTTGTGACCAGAGTGTGTGTGTGATTTTGTTGGATTTGGTCCTCAGGATAAGGTTAACAAAGTCATGAGGAAGACTGGAGTTAGCAAGGCTAGTTGGTGATGAAGGGCTCAAGGACATACAGGAGGGTGAAGTGAGAGAACTGGTTGAAGAACATGCACTGGGCCTAAATGATGAAGAATTGTTGGAGATTGTGCAAGCAGAGAGTGAGGATGAAGAAGAGGAGTGTTGCTGAGGCCAATCAACCTCAAGCTAGGGCAAGTGATGAGAATGACAACACAGCTCTAACAATTTTTTTATGACATAGACCCATCGATGTTGAGGGCTTTGAAGGTGATGAGTGACACTGACAGAAGCATAATTCCCTACAAAACTCTGTAGATATGAAGAGGAAACAGTCTCAGTTGCCCATCACAATGTTCTTCACAAGGAATCCTGCCACTACCCCTACCGCCTCACCTGAGCCTCAACCCGTGGCAGAACCTGATTCCAGGTGGACGTGACTAGTACCGTTGATTTCCAAGCCGATGTATGAAACATGCACTCAAGTATCACCCATTTCTGTTTACCTGGAGTTTACCTGGAGAGAGTTCCGGGGGTCAACGCCCCCGCGGCCCGGTCTGTGACCAGGCCTCCTGGTGGATCAGAGCCTGATCAACCAGGCTGTTGCTGCTGGCTGCACGCAAACCAACGTACGAGCCACAGCCCGGCTGGTCAGGAACCGACTTCAGGTGCTTGTCCAGTGCCAGCTTGAAGACTGCCAGGGGTCTGTTGGTAATCCCCCTTATGTATGCTGGGAGGCAGTTGAACAGTCTCGGGCCCCTGACACTTATTGTATGGTCTCTTAACGTGCTAGTGACACCCCTGCTTTTCATTGGGGGATGGTGCATTGTCTGCCAAGTCTTTTGCTTTCGTAGCGAGTGATTTTCGTGTGCAAGTTCGGTACTAGTCCCTCTAGGATTTTCCAGGTGTATATAATCATGTATCTCTCCCGCCTGCGTTCCAGGGAATACAGGTTCAGGAACCTCAAGCGCTCCCAATAATTGAGGTGTTTTATCTCCGTTATGCGTGCCGTGAAGGTTCTCTGTATAAACAATGTACGTGTATCATGTTGAAATAAACTTGTATTTGCATTTATCTGTATTTGTATCTCGGCATTTGATATGCTTTTGTCACTAAGCTCGATTATTTCTAGCTTTTGATTTAAAGTACGTAATTACAATAATAACACTAAAACAAGTAAAAAGTTTGTAAATTTCCAGAATACGACACTGAGACACAAAGTGCACAAATGCTGTAGACAGACTGAGCATGGGTCAACTGATGTGCACATCACCACCGAAACACTGCTGAAAATAATAAGCATGAATATAAATTGAAAAGCACTTTATTAGCAAAATGCTGTAAAGCAAGTACAAGCAAAACATTATTAAAACGAAATCAAACGAAACTTAATGCAGTAGCGTTATATTAACAGAAAACGGCAATTACACTTAAGATGAAACATTGTAAAATTATAGACAGGTGAATGAAATTCAAAAAAACCACATCAAATTTTCTTAATACTACACAAACTGAATTGATTATTGTACACTGTAGCATATTTACGAAGTATGCCTGTACAGTGGTCCCTCATTTTTCATAATTAATCCGTTCCTGGAGCCATTACTATAAACAAAATTTACGATTTACGAATCAATTTTCCCCATAAGAAATAATGTGAATACAATTAATCTGTTCCTGACACCCAGAAGTATTAAAACAAAAAAAATTTTTTACATGAAATATACATGTAGTACATAAACAATACAATGGGAAATGATGAATGAAACATTAACAGCATAACACTTACCTTTATTGGAGATTCTTCTTAGTGTATGGGAGACTGGAGGAGGAGAGAGAGTGGATTGTTTATAGTTTGGAAGGGGAATCCCCTTCCATCAACACCTCAGGTACCAATTGCTTTTCTGGGGTTGCTTGTCTTCTCTGTTTCTTAATGCCACTAGGACCACCTTGAGAGTCAATGGAGTCCTGTCTCGCAAAATAACTGTGGAGAGAGCTCTGTTTCTGGCGACTCTTTAACACTTCCCTAAAATGGCCCAAGACTTTGTCACTGTACATGTTGCCAATATGGCTTGCAACAACCTTGTTAGGGTGATTTTTCTCCATAAAGCTTTCCATCTTACCCCACATAGTAAAAATCTCTTTAATTTCTGAAGAAGGCACCTTCTTCCATCTCTCTTCCTCCTCCTCTGCAGCAAGATTCTGAGCTGCGATGTGTTGCTCTTCCTGCTGAAGCTCTTGCAGCTCCTCAGTGGTGAGCTCTTCGTTGTGGTCTTCCACCAATTCTTCCACATCCTCCAAACTCACATCAAACCCCAGGGAAAACTCCCCAGTGCCACAACTGATTTTACAACAGACATAGGCTCATCAGGTCAGTCCCAAACCCTTCAAAATCCCTCTTGTCGACACAATCTGGCCACAATTTTCTCCAGGCAGAGTTCAAAGTCCTGGTAGTCACTCCCTCCCAAGCCATGCCTATAAGGGTTATGCAATGGAGGATGCTGAAGTGTTCTCCCCCAAAATTCCCTTAGGGTCAAGTGAGTGTCTGTAGTCACAGTCAAGCACCTGTGAAACATTGCTTTTGTGTAGAGTTTTTTAAAGTTTGCAATGACCTGCTGGTCCACGGGCTGGAGGAGAGGAGTGGTATTCGGGGGCAAGAACTTTACTGTGATGAACCCAAACTCCTCAAAAATTAGGTCATCCAAGTTTGGAGGATGAGCAGGTGCATTGCCCATTACTAGCAGGCACTTGAGATCCAATTTCTTTTCCAGGAGATACTCCTTCACACTAGGGCTAAACACTTCATTGAACCACTCAACGAAAATTTCCCTCGTGACCCATGCCGTACTATTAGATTTCCAAAACACACACAATTTACTCTTCATAACATTGTTTTTCCTGAACACTCTGGGATTTTCAGAATGGTACACTAGTAATGGCTTCACTTTGAATTCCCCACTAGCATTAGCACAGAACATTAGCGTCAGCCTGTCTTTCATAGGCTTGTGTCCTGGCATTGCCTTTTCCTCTTGTGAAGGTCCTCTTTGGCATTTTTTTCCAAAAGAGGCCTGTTTCGTCACAATTGAACACTTGTTCAGGTTTCAGTCCTTCAGCCTCTATGTACTCCTGGAATTCATGCACATATTTTTCAGCCACCTTGTGGTCCGAACTGGCAGCCTCACCATGCCTTACCACACTGTGTATGCCAGTACGGTTCTTAAATCTCTCAAACCAGCCTTTGCTGGCCTTAAATTCACCCACATCACCACTATTTGCAGGCAATTTCTTTACCAAATCTTCATGCAACTGCCTAGCCTTTTCACAAATAATCGAAGTCATAAGAGTATCTCCTGCTAATTGTTTCTCATTTATCCACACCAATAATAACTTCTCAACCTCTTCCAGTACTAGTGATCTCATTTTTGTCAGCATAGTTACTCCCTTTGCAACAACAGCATCCTTGATTTCCTTTTTCTTGGCCACTATGGAACATAAGGTTGTGTAGGGTTTCTTATACATCCTGGACACTTCGGCCACACTTGTACCACTTTCATATTGTTCAATGATGGTTTTCTTAAATTCAATCGTATTTCTCACCTTCTTTACCACAGGCTTGGCACTAGGAGCTTTCTTTGGAGCCATGGTAGCTTATTTAGTACTTGCAAGCACTAAAACAAATGGAATATTATGAAATATTTCGCTGGAGCATGTGAGGGGACCTTCGGTCACTGGTAAACAATGCCAGACTGGCTGCTGCCACAGCTCACGCCGTGGGTACGCCTCCCAGACGAACTACGACTCACGAGTCAACCTATGAAAAGCGAGTCTATGTTTATACGAAAATACCCCTATGATTGGCGAATTTTGCGATTGCCGAGAACTACAAAAAGCGAGGGACCACTGTATATATAAAAAGCCCATAACTCGGTTAAAATATTGTAAAAATTAAGAATACTAAACAGTAAATTTATACAATGTTTAACTACACAGTAAATTATGACAAATTTTATGCTGCACAGCACATAATTCTCAATTAGAAGTAATAATCACCTGAATTTTGTCTGCTGTATCTCTGAGGTCATAACATCTACCGGGGTTGGCCCGTGCAAGGAAGTCTTCAATTAAACGCATGCCAATATTATAGCCCATTCGTTCAAGTTGACGATTAACATCATCCACATTTTCATAATCCTTAAGCAGCTGAGCAACTAGTGATCCATAAGTTAGTGTGAACAGCTCCCCACTCTGAAACATTTACACAAATTGTAAAATACAGAGCTCTACATAAATAGTATTCTAAACAGAATGTTGCATCGCCTGTAGGCTTCACAGCCTACTCATATGTAATGTATTTCAGACAGAGATGTTAAAATAAATCAAATCACTTCGAAGATATTAACTGTACAATAAAGTAGTACAACATACTGAGTAGAGAAAAAGATTTAAAAGAATAATCTAGAATTCAGCAGAGCCACAATTAACAATCATTAGCTTATTATATTTAGAGATGTGATACAGCTGGAAAGAAAGGAAGGCTGGAATTACTATACGTACATACAATGGATGCTCTATTATCCAAACAATGCAGAGCAGAATTTTGGCATAATAGAGGTTCATCGGGTTAGATGTTCCTTAGGGCCTTTTTTTTTGTTTGTTTTGCTAGTTTGATAGAACATGTCACTTTTGAGTTTTTTCATATCAATAACCAGTATATTTGATCCAAAACAACCAAGAGACAATATGACTTCAGGGAATGAAAAAGAACAATGCAGACAGGAACAATTAGCACACAAAAGACAAAAAGATGATCTAAGCCAGTATTAATAGCAACAAATTGAAATTAAATTACAGAGGACAGATGTAAATAAGTTATATGGTACCTAGAGCTCTGCAACATGTATAAAAATATCAAACATCTTATTCTAAAAAGGGAAGGGGGCAAAAGACCTAACAATAACAAGTGGTTGAACAGAAGGTGCCACTCAAACAGCATAAGCTGTATTGAGCTCTATCTCTTCGTCTCCAGAGTCAAAATACTACCAAAATCTGAAAAGAACAGGTAAATAAAATAAGCATTACCAAAAAACTATTATCTTTTAGTGGTTCTGGAGATTACCTTCCTCGTAACCTGGTTTCAGACAAGGCATCCGATCACACTTCCCAGGTTGGAAATATTGCTGGATTAGGAACTATTAAGAAGTACATGAGAAGTAAACGTACAGTATGTATGTACTGAATGTAAGGAAAAGCAATCCTACTAGAGGGCAGGACTGAACCTTCCATCCAGCCTAGTTAATAGTTTTTTTTTAGTTTTTATTATCACACTGGCCGATTCCCACCAAGGCAGGGTGGCCCAAAAAAGAAAAACTTTCACCATCATTCACTCCATCACTGTCTTGCCAGAAGGGTGCTTTACACTACAGTTTTTAAACTGCAACATTAACACCCCTCCTTCAGAGTGCAGGCACTGTACTTCCCATCTCCAGGACTCAAGTCCGGCCTGCCGGTTTCCCTGAACCCCTTCATAAATGTTACTTTGCTCACACTCCAACAGCACGTCAAGTATTAAAAACCATTTGTCTCCATTCACTCCTATCAAACACGCTCACGCATGCCTTCTGGAAGTCCAAGCCCCTCGCACACAAAACCTCCTTTACCCCCTCCCTCCAACCTTTCCTAGGCCGACCCCTACCCCGCCTTAGTTCCACTTCAGACTGATACACTCTTGAAGTCACTCTGTTTCGCTCCATTCTCTCTACATGTCCAAACCACCTCAACAACCCTTCCTCAGCCCTCTGGACAACAGTTTTGGTAATCCCGCACCTCCTCCTAACTTCCAAACTACGAATTCTCTGCATTATATTCACACCACACATTGCCCTCAGACATGACATCTCCACTGCCTCCAGCCTTCTCCTCGCTGCAACATTCATCACCCATGCTTCACACCCATATAAGAGCGTTGGTAAAACTATACTCTCATACATTCCCCTCTTTGCCTCCAAGGACAAAGTTCTTTGTCTCCACAGATTCCTAAGTGCACCACTCACCCTTTTCCCCTCATCAATTCTATGATTCACCTCATCTTTCACAGACCCATCCGCTGACACATCCACTCCCAAATATCTGAATACATTCACCTCCTCCATACTCTCTCCCTCCAATCTGATATCCAATCTTTCATCACCTAATCTTTTTGTTATCCTCATAACCTTACTCTTTCCTGTATTCACTTTTAATTTTCTTCTTTTGCACACCCTACCAAATTCATCCACCAATCTCTGCAACTTCTCTTCAGAATCTTCCAAGAGCACAGTGTCATCAGCAAAGAGCAACTGTGACAACTCCCACTTTATGTGTGATTCTTTATCTTTTAACTCCACGCCTCTTGCCAAGACCCTCGCATTTACTTCTCTTACAAACCCATCTATAAATATATTAAACAACCATGATGACATTACACATCCTTGTCTAAGGCCTACTTTTACTGGGAAATAATTTCCCTCTTTCCTACATACTCTAACTTGAGCCTCACTATCCTCGTAAAAACTCTTCACTGTTTTCAGTAACCTACCTCCTACACCATACACCTGCAACATCTGCCACATTGCCCCCCTATCCACCCTGTCATATGCCTTTTCCAAATCCATAAATGCCACAAAGACCTCTTTAGCCTTATCTAAATACTGTTCACTTATATGTTTCACTGCAAACACCTGGTCCACACACCCCCTACCTTTCCTAAAGCCTCCTTGTTCATCTGCTATCCTATTCTCCATCTTACTCTTAATTCTTTCAATAATAATTCTACCATACACTTTACCAGGTATACTCAACAGACTTATCCCCCTATAATTTTTGCATTCTCTTTTGTCCCCTTTGCCTTTATACAAAGGAACTATGCATGCTCTCTGCCAATCCCTAGGTACCTTACCCTCTTCCATACATTTATTAAATAATTGCACCAACCACTCCAAAACTATATCCCCACCTGCTTTTAACATTTCTATCTTTATCCCATCAATCCCGGCTGCCTTACCCCCTTTCATTTTACCTACTGCCTCACGAACTTCCCCCACACTCACAACTGGCTCTTCCTCATAACTACAAGATGTTATTCCTCCTTGCCCTATACACGAAATCACAGCTTCCCTATCTTCATCAACATTTAACAATTCCTCAAAATATTCCCTCCATCTTCCCAATACCTCTAACTCTCCATTTAATAACTCTCCTCTCCTATTTTTAACTGACAAATCCATTTGTTCTCTAGGCTTCCTTAACTTGTTAATCTCACTCCAAAACTTTTTCTTATTTTCAACAAAATTTGTTGATAACATCTCGCCCACTCTCTCATTTGCTCTCTTTTTACATTGCTTCACCACTCTCTTAACCTCTCTCTTTTTCCCCATATACTCTTCCCTCCTTGCATCACTTCTACTTTGTAAAAACTTCTCATATGCTAACTTTTTCTCCCTTACTACTCTCTTTACATCATCATTCCACCAATCGCTCCTCTTCCCTCCCGCACCCACTTTCCTATAACCACAAACTTCTGCTGAACACTAACACTACATTTTTAAACCTACCCCATACCTCTTCGACCCCATTGCCTATTCTCTCATTAGCCCATCTATCCTCCAATAGCTGTTTAGATCTTACCCTAACTGCCTCCTCTTTTAGTTTATAAACCTTCACCTCTTTCTTCCCTGATGCTTCTATTCTCCTTGTATCCCATCTACCTTTTACTCTCAGTGTAGCTATAACTAGAAAGTGATCTGATATATCTGTGGCCCCTCTATAAAAATGTACATCCTGAAGTCTACTCAACAGTCTTTTATCTACCAATACATAATCCAACAAACTACTGTCATTTCGCCCTACATCATATCTTGTATACTTATTTATCCTCTTTTTCTTGTCATCCGCACTACATCTACGCACATTCAAGCATCCCAGTTTTATAAAGTTTTTCTTCTTCTCTTTTTTAGTAAATCTCTACAGGAGAAGGGGTTACTAGCCCATTGCTCCCGTCATTTTAGTCGCCTCATACGACACACATGGCTTACGGAGGAAAGATTCTTTTCCACTTCCCCATGGACAATAGAAGAAATAAAGAAGAACAAGAGCTATTTAGAAAAAGGAGAAAAACCTAGATGTATGTATATATATATATGCATGTGCGTGTCTTTGAAATGTGACCAAAGTGTAAATAGGAGTAGCAAGATATCCCTGTTATCTAGTGTGTTTATGAGACAGAAAAAGAAACCAGCAATCCTACCATCATGCAAAACAGTTACAGGTTTCTGTTTCACAGTCATCTGGCAGGACGGTAGTACTTCCCTGGGTGGTTGCTGTCTACCAACCTACTACCTAGTTAATAGTATGCTGTTCTTATGGTCTTGGAGCTATTACTACCTTATGTTAGGTTTCAAGACATTTATTGTGGTGCTATCATCAATCTACAGCCATCATATCATCACTAACAAGTTATTGTGTCAATGTAGCCTATCACTCGTGTTATTGTCAAGTTATTGTGCCACTATAGCCATAGACTACAGTGGCACAATAACTCGACATTCTGGCATTTTACACTACCACTGATCAACAGCCACCATGACATTATAATTGACCTGTAGCTACCATTGTAAATATTATTATTGTTATTATTATTATTATATATTAGGGGAAAGCACTAAACCAATCTAAGGGTGAGACAGGTCCAATTCTTTGGATCAAGAGCCCCTCACCAGCACCTAGGAACCTCACTTAAGAGGACCTGACCACTATGGCACTAAAACTGACCTACAGCCACTGTGGCACCATAAATGATCTATGGCCAACAAGACATTATAACTGACTATGGTGACTGTGGCAGTCACTGACCTATGACCACCATGGCACTGTAACTGACCTGTTGCCACACTGGCATTGAAATTAATGTACAGCCATTGTGCCACTATCTTCCAAAGACAGGCACAGTGTCTACGTACTGAAGCTCACAGGACTCTATGTCTAGCTCTTATACCACGTCATGAAAATTACACTTGTTCTTCATGGTACTCCACTCTAACAAAAAAAATGGTGAGGTTCACCCTGGACCTGGGTCCAAGAGAGCATGTAAGCCAGGATGAATTACAACAACCAGATATGTTGAATGCTGAAGACAGATTAAAGCAGTTGAAGTTAAATCATGTTTATAAAATTGCTCATAAGCAGGATCCAGAATATCTTCATAAAAAGTTTGTCAACATTAGGAACTAAAACCAGTATGGTACTAGAAGGGAACACAATTTTGTAGTACCTACAGTAGATGGTCCAGCCACACTGAACATGTCAAAGCCAGTCCTAGCATTAGCCAGTTCAGGAAGAGAACTAAAAGGTTCTTAATGAATGAAGATACAGGAAAGGAGGAGAGTGATTTCCTGTATAGTCAACATTCATGTACCTACCTATTATTGAAAGCTGATTTTCTCTATTTATGTTCTTGTAAATAACCCAGCTTACTTTGTTCCAATTGTACCTCTTTTTACTGCAATTATTTTCATGCAGTTGAGTTGTTTAGTTCTTTTAATTTTTAAATAACACAAAAAGGCACAATACCGTAACTGGAACGATACACAAATAACCCGCACATAAAAGAGAGAAGCTTACGACGACGTTTCGGTCTGACTTGGACCATTTACAAAGTCACACTAACCAGAAGTGGAGCAGGACAGCTATATATAGGCAGGAAGAGGTGGTGGTAGTAGTAGTACAAGAAAGGTATATAATACCGTCAAGATGAAATTAAGACACATGCGCAACAAAACAAGGATCCCAAAGGAAATAAGTAACTTTAACTTTTTTAGGTTATCCTAGATAAATTAACCCTTTGACTGTCGCGGCCGTATATATACGTCTTATGAGGTACCGTGTTTGACGTATATATACGTACTCATAAATTCTAGCGGCTTCAAATCAAGCAGGAGAAAGCTGGTAGGCCCACATGTGAGAGAATGGGTCTGTGTGGTCAGTGTGCACCATATAAAAAAAATCCTGGAGCACGCAGTGCATAATGAGAAAAAAAAACTCCGACCGTTTTTTTTAATTAAAATGCCGACTTTGTGGTCTATTTTCGTATAGTATTTATGGTTGTATTACCTGGAGAGAGTTCTCGTTTTCTTGGTCTCATTTGATAGAATGGAAAACATATTATAGAAATAGAGGTGACTTTGATTGATTTTACTATAAAAAGAACCTAGAAATGGAGCTCAAAGTTGGGGAAATGTTTGATTTTTGCCAATGTTCAAAAGTAAACAAATGATGCCATTGTCCAATAAATGTCCAACTAGCCATTCTAATATGCAGTCATGAATGGGTTGATGTTATTTATACAATTATTACAGTACTGCAGTAGTCTGCATAATAGTAAGTCTTCTATTTTTTGTTTGAATAAAAATTCAAAATAGAAAGCAAGAGTAATATTAGAGGGGCCTGGAGACATGACTGATGAGCAAAGAAAATGTTATTTTAGAGCCAGGAATGTCTGCATTGTTCATTCTGGACCTTATTTTGAAATTGTCATATTTTTTAGTTTTCGTGAAATTGGCCAAATTGCAAATTTCTGACCACATTATTAGGTAGTTAAAATTGGTAAATGGGCAGTTTCGTGTACTCAATCGATAGAAAAAATGGATTTCTAAAGAAATAGCTATGAGTTTGGGCGACTGGAATAATGGAATTAGCTGAAAATAGGGCTCAAAGTGGGCGAAATCGCCGATTTGTAAACAGCGCCGAGGTCGCTAACTTCGCGAGAGCATAATTCCGTCAGTTTTCCATCAAATTTCGTTTTTTTGGTGTCATTACAATCGGGAAAAGATTCTCTATCATTTCATAAGAAAAATAATTTTTTTTTTTAAATTTTGCGACACCAGGAGACACCTCAGGACTGGGGGTTGCGACAGTCAAAGGGTTAAATATGTTACTATGTATGATAATTGTAATCACCTAAATTTGTATAACTGTAACTTAAGACATAATTGACCAAATTTGCCCAAAATGCTTTGCATAACAAGGGGCTTTCTATATAATAGTATGTCACTGATGTCAGCTAGACCTGTATACCTTGTACATGTACCTGCAGAAATAAAAATTATTATTATTATTATTATTATTATTAATGTGTACCTGTACCAGGATGAATTACAACAATTACATGTGCTCAATGCTGAAGACAGAGTAAAACAACTGAAATCAAGTTTATAAAATTGCTCACAAACACTATCCAGAAAATCTTGCTGCCAATTTTGTCAAGATTAGGAATACACTAATCATAGTACTAGGGGGAGAGAGCACAACTTTGTAGTGCCCTCAGTCAGTGGCCAGGCTTCAAACACCTTTTATTGTACAGCAATATAAGGATGGAACAGACTGCCTTCACATGTCAAAGCCAGTCAAATCACGAGCCAGTTCAAGAAGAGAGCCAAAAGTTGCCTGATGAATATAGCGACAAAGGGAGGAGAATAATTCTTTATTAATTTTAGCTAACACACATGTAAATATAAATAATTAATTTTACCATATTCCTAGTATATCTCCTTTATAGTATGATAATAAGATATTATCTCCTTTATAGTAAAATAATAAGGTATCAATTATTTTAATATAATCATGGGGGAGCGCTAAACCCGTAGGGTTATACAGTGCATGTAGGGGGGTGGAAGGTATTCAGGCTCAATTCAGGGAACCAGAGCACAGATCCAATTTCCTAGATCAAGAGCAACTCACCAGCATCAAGGAACCTCCCTTGAGGGAATAAGGTATCAAAGGGACCCCAATGGAAATAAGTCACTCTGACTTTTTTGGGTTATCATAGGTTCTCTACACATATGCTGCTAAGTATAATAATCTGTGTAACTGTATATGTGTATACCTGAATAAACTTACTTACTAGTTGGATACTTAATGCTGTTTTCAAAATAAGTACTTAGGTGTTAACCTGTGTTGCAGGTTGCATCCTGGAAAATCTATCAGGACCCCAAAGGATATAAGCCACACTGCTTGACTCTCCTAGGTTATCGTGGCTTATTATCCCACCTGGCTAATAATCGGACTAAAATTTTTGCAGAGGTAATAAACACATCTTGAAGAAACGCCCACCATCCCTTTACTTTTCACAATGTTTTACTTATCCAATTAGATGTCATAATTCACACATCCGTACAAGTCAAAAGTTAAGTAAAATGTTAAAATGAGAATAAATAAAAGTAATAAACTTCAACTAACCACTTTTTTGGGATCGTTGGCTCTCATACTTTGACGAGACATCTTGTTGGGTTTGTTAAAGCCACTGACACCTTACGCTGTATCCTGCACTGCTTCCAGAATAAAATAAAATATTTATTTCTTTGCTAAGGTTACAATGTGTGTTTACATTTCATAACATGATTGGAGCAAAGAAAGCCACTATCATGCCGAGGCATTTCGGGGAAGTACAATACAGCAATATTTCTTTTCTATAATATACAATGTAAGTCACTGATTTTTTGGGGTTATTAGGTAAGACACATATGCAACAACCTGTCGGTATTTTATACCATTTTAATGTTTTTGGGTTATCCCAGGTTTTCTACACATATGCTGCTATGTATGATAATCTATGTAACTGTATTTGTGTATACCTGAATAAACTTACAGTTTACATGTAATAAAATGTTTAGCACAAAAGAAAGTCACTAGCACACGGTGCATTTATGGCAGAGTAATCCTAATACTTACAGACTACATAGGTAATTAAGTAAATTCACTTCGGTACAGGTACACATAATTATGATACATCGTGTAAATTACCTATGATAGCCTAAAAAATCCGACAGTGACTTATTTCCATATGGGGGAAGGAGATATTGCCCAAAGCTGGACCATGAGAAAACAGGAGTTTCTTCTCGAATAGAAAGTTTTTTTTTTTTGTTCCACCTAATGAACTAGCACCCCATTGTCATCCTGTGAGTGGAAATGCAAAAACTAGAATTACAGAGACTACACTGGGTCTGTCAGACCCACCGGGGACTAGCAAAATGCAGATGTAGTATACACAGACTTTGTGAAAGCCTTCAGCAGGTGCAATCATGGTTAATAACACAAAATGAGTGATAAAGTTAGTTTAATATGTTTATTATGCACCCCATACCCATCCAGTGGGCGGTAGTCAAAAGATTACAGAGGTACATAATGGGTCCAGGGACTGGGCCTCAAAGTTTTGATAGCTGAGCAAGTTACAGAGGTAATGAATTCACAATTTACAAAGGTAATGAACTCACAATTTACAAAGGTAATGAACTCCAGGTAGGTCTAGTCACAATCATGACAAGTTACAAAGGTATTTACAGATTACAGAGGTACACAATGGGTCCAGGGACCGGGCTCCAAAGTTTTGATGGCTGAACTAGGTACAAGGTAATGAACTCACAAGTTACAAAGATAATGAACTCACAAGTTACAAAGGTAATGAATACTGTAAGAATGGTTACTTACGTGTATACATGGCTGCAATCATGAACAAATTTTAGAGTAATGAGCAATTCACACTTCCACACCCGGTCACAACTGTAGTGAGTTATTGGTGCAAATGTTGATTGCTGAGTCTCTCTCTCTCTCTCACACACACACACACATACAAATTCATACACACACACACATAATCACACACACACACACACACACACACACACACACACACACACACACACACACACACACACACACACACACACACACACACACACACACACACACAACACACAAACTCATACACACACACGCACACACACTCATACACACACACGCACACTCATAACACACACACACACTCATACTCACACACACACACACACACACACACACACACACACACACACACACACACACACACACACACACACACACACACACACACACACACACACACACACACATGCACATATGTGGTAATGCTTTATTTACAGCTAGCAAAGTCAGGGTATTTCTCCAGAATGGTCTGTAATATACCACTGTGGATAAAATACTTAGCCATTTCTTGAACACTTCTGAGTGAGTTGTTTCTAAATTCATTAATTTTATCGCACTCCAGTACATAATGACGCAGGGTGTGACAATAATCCATCTGGCAAAGCGATAAAGGAATAACAGGAAAAGTGGGTAGAGGGATCTATAACTTCCTAACAAATAGAGCACAAAGAGTAACAGTAGAGCCAGAGGTGGCTACAATGAAAAGCTCTTGTGGAAAATTTTATAGGAGTGATTACTTGTACATACCTCAACATTACATGCATACGAGTAATCTCCTTGGGAGACAACAACGATATTGTTTACCATAGTAACCCATGTAGACATGTGAGAAAACTTAACCACCTCTGGTCACAGCAGGTGGCCCCCTCGACCCTCACAATCTTATCCATATCTACCCGAGACCAGTATAAATTGGGTAGCACCCTCAAGTACGGCGCTACTAATTAATTGTGGACTGTATAGATTATATTAGTTTAACTGAATGAAGGGGGAAGGGGGTAGGTTACACATGGATATACCCATCAAGGAAAAACACTTGTACATTATCCCACCACTTACCAGATATTCTCTGGGGGTCACTTGATGTAGCTGGATCACCCATAACCTATCCAATTACAACATACCTAACTGGCCAGTATCAGTCTGCTATAACTAGAAGGGTTACTTAACTGTGGGTGATTGATACTCCTTATTTCCTCCATTCACCATCTCATTTCGATGTCATGCTACACCGACACGGTTCTCATTCCAGCAGGACGAGGTATCCGTTGGTTTGTCCCGGTTTAGAAGTCGTGACTCAATGAACTTCACTTTCCTCGTGACGGGAACAACGAGGTCTAACGTGTTCACTCGGAGCAAGGCGACTTATTTCACTTCACGCATTCTCTTAACTTAGCGTTATTATCATTAATTACATTACAATTCACAAGACGATTTAATATCTCATAATTATTATACACATTAGAGATCACTCCATTAAGATCTGAGACCGATGAGTGATGATTAAACCAAGGGTAATTTTCCCCGGGACACAGTCCATGGTGATGCGCCAGTCACCCGGTCCTACCCTTATTCACTCATTTTACCACTTTATTACGGTGGTCCCATAAATCACGTTCCCTCACTCTCCACCAGGAACAGTTACGACACTTCCTATTATGAAATGAGGCCTATATTAATCCTTAGGCCGCCGTGAATGCCAATTTCCTGGTTCCATGCTTTCCCAGCCTCCTCACTACATTCAAAACACCCCCGCCTCTCGTGCCCCAGTTCGACCTATACCCCCGCACGTCTGCGCATGCGCAGCGGGAACCCAGTTGGTTCCATTCAAAATACAAATACATTTTGACTCAAATCAACACATTAAACACTTATTAGGCACTATAGCTTCGGAAATTAAATAATTTCCACAGCTCTGTTCTACAAGGTACAGTACTCGCTCCCATCCCTTTCCTCATCCTCATATCTGACATAGACAAAAATGTAAGCCACAACACAGTGTCCTCCTTAGCTGATGATACCAGAATTTGCATGACAGGACACCGCAAATCTCCAAGCGGACATTAACTGTCTTTAAATGAACCTCAGAAAACAATATGAAGTTCAATGAAGACAAATTTTAAGTACTCCGCTATGGAAAACTTAAGGAAATAAAAACTGGATCGGAGTATAAAATAAATTCCAACCACACAATAGAGCGAAAAACTAACGTAAAGGTGGGAGTGATAATGTCAGAGAATCTCACTCTCAAAGATCACAACAATGTATCTTGTGGAAAATTGCATTTATCTGAATGTAACTAATTATGTACATAACAGTAAATGATAACAAAGATAATTATTATTTATCAATGTTACATAGACAAGTAGGAATTTGGGACACCTAGGTCTAAAAAAATGTCCCCCTTCAATACCTACCACTGTCATATCCACAAGTTGCTCTGGACCTATTAATTAAATGAAATATACATACACCAGGAATACTGGTAAATATATAAATTTGTGGACTGTATATTAAAAATAATAAATGGTTATATATACACAATTACATAACAGAAGGAAAATATATTTTAATATCATTCACCAATTTGACTGGAGATTAAGGTGTATCATACTCAGAAAACCTCACTCTAACTTAATCTATGAAAATAATGCTGGCCAGAATTACACACAAACCTAGAGAGCTTATCTGAGGTTCCTGGAGTTGTCTTGTCCAGTCGTCTGATATCTCAAGTTATGCAGGAATGCACATCCACCAATTTCGCCTCCTATTTGAGAGGTGTCAACACAATTTTAACCTCTAGAGCACGAAAAATTCTTCCCATTACACCAACGTTTGTACAAAATTCAAAACCAAGATGGCGAGTCTCGTCTGCGCAGACGCAGGCTTTCCGTTTTCTATGACAAAAATATTATTAAATACAGTATGGCCATCTATTTACATATAAATATTGAATTTCTGGAAAATATATACAGTATTTTCCACACTGAGGCCGACCGGAGTTCGTTGCTAAATGATTCAAATTGCTCATTTGACAACGGTGGAGGACCTGGGTACATAAAGCATCTGGCATCCACACGGCGACATATTACACAAGATTTAATCTCTCTTTTTACACTTTGCCGTCCTTGTGGAATCCAAAAAGTTTCCCTAATACAATTTAAGGTATATTGTACCCCACCATGCATTACATTTTTATTACCTGGAGTTTACCTGGAGAGAGTTCCAGGGGTCAACGCCCCCGCGGCCCGGTCTGTGACCAGGCCTCCTGGTGGATCAGAGCCTGATCAACCAGGCTGTTGCTGCTGGCTGCACGCAAACCAACGTACGAGCCACAGCCCGGCTGATCAGGAACTGACTTTAGGTGCTTGTCCAGTGCCAGCTTGAAGACTGCCAGGGGTCTGTTGGTAATCCCCCTTATGTGTGCTGGGAGGCAGTTGAACAGTCTCGGGCCCCTGACACCTATTGTATGGTCTCTTAACGTGCTAGTGACACCCCTGCTTTCATTGGGGGATGGTGCATCGTCTGCCAAGTCTTTGCTTTCGTAGTGAGTGATTTTCGTGTGAAAGTTCAGTACTAGTCCCTCTAGGATTTTCCAGGTGTATATAATCATGTATCTCTCCCTCCTGCGTTCCAGGGAATACAGGTTTAGGAACCTCAAGCGCTCCCAGTAATTGAGGTGTTTTTCTCCGTTATGCGCGCCTTTGAAAGTTCTCTGTACATTTTCTGGTCGGCAATTTCACCTGCTTTGAAAGGTGCTGTTAGTGTGCAGCAATATTCCAGCCTAGATAGAACAAGTGACCTGAAGAGGTCATCATGGGCTTGGCCTCCCTAGTTTTGAAGGTTTCATTACCCCATCCTGTCATTTTTCTAGCAGATGCGATTGATACAATGTTATGGTCCTTGAAGGTGAGATCCTCCGACATGATCACTCCAGGTCTTTGACGTTGGTGTTTCGCTCTATTTTGTGGCCAGAATTTGTTTTGTACTCTGATGAAGATTTAATTTCCTCATGTTTACCATATCTGAGTAATTGAAATTTCTCATCGTTGAACTTCATATTGTTTTCTGCAGCCCACTGAAAGATTTGGTTGATGTCCGCCTGGAGCCTTGCAGTGTCTGCAATGAAAGACACTGTCATGCAGAT